GGAGCGTCCTTGCTGTCCTGGGCCCTCCCGGCCTCTGCCTGTCCCGGGGGAGGCCGGATCCTGGGCTGTGTCCCGGCGCCCTGTGCTCCGGGGCCTGCGCTGGTGGATTCGCGCTCCCGCCCTGCAGCCCCCTCCGCGGAGCCGCTCCCGAGCCCCTCCGAGCTGCTCCGGCCCCGCCGTGCGCGCTGCAGCCCTTTGGGAGCTCGGCGCACTCCCCCGGGGCGCAGGTGTCTGTTAGTGTCCCCGGGAGCCCGAGGGCATCCCCGCCCTCCTGGGTCCTGCTCCAACTCCCTGCGAGCCCCTTTCCTTCCGCCCGGGAAGGTTGGTGCAGCTCCTGCTCCTCCGGGAAGGGGCTTTCCTGTCCTGGGGACACTCGCCCCGGCCTCAGCCCGGCTCCTCGCGGGGCCCCTCCCCCTCCGAGGCCTTTTGTTCCTTTATTTCTCTTTCCCCGTCTTCCTACCTTGATAGAAGCGCGGACTCTTCTCACTGTAGCGTTCCAGCTGGTCTCTCTTTACATCTCAGGCCGAATTCGTAGATTTTCAGGATGGTTTGAAGGTTATCTAGGTAATTTGGTGGGGACAGGTGATTTGGGGACCCTGCTCTTCCGCCATCTTGCCCCTCCCCCCTCTTTTTTATTTTTATTTTTCCCGCCTTCCTACCTTGTTAGAAGCACAAACCCTTCTCTCTGTAGCGTCCCCGCTGTTCTCTCTGTAAATCTCAGGTGGAATTTGTATGTTTTCAGGGTAGTTTGAAAGTTATCTAGGTGAGTTCTTGGGGCCAGGTGAGGTGAGGACCCTGCTCCTCCACTATCTTACCTTGCCCCCCCAGAATTTTTCTCTTTGAGATAAAAAGATATATTCTGTAACTAATGCTATAAGAATAAAAGATCTAAGTTTTCTTTCCTTTTTTAAAAGAAATTGAGTACATTTTGGGCACCTAAGTGGCTCAGTCAGTTGAGGGTCTGATTTCAGCTTAGCTAGTCATGATCTCAGGTCCTGGGATGGACCCCCAAGTTGGGTTCCTTTCTCAGCAGGGAGTATGCTTGTCCCTCTGCTCCTACCTCTGCTCTTGTTTCACTCTCTCAAATAAATAAATACAACCTTAAAAAAAATTAAAATAAAAGAATGGAGTCATACCAAAAGGATATAGGAACCAATATATAAAAAAGTTTCCAAAATCTGGGACGCTTTGAACAATAAATTAAATAATGATAATAATTGAGTAAAATATATAAAATAAAATAAATGTATATCTTATACTGATAAAGTAAATAAATAATAAACAAGCAGTTTCTTGAATTCCAATAAAAGAAAGAAAAAAAACAGAAAGAATGAAAAAATTTTAATTTACTAGGTTTTCAATATTAACATTTTTACATAAATAATAAAATGTTCAAAACTAGGAATCCTTATTCAGATGCTGTCAATTATCCTGCTAGTGTTCTTTTTTCTTTCTGATACACGATCTAGGTTCCCTTCTTGAATTATCTTGCCCAGTGTCTTCACTCTTTTCAACTTGTGACAGTTGCCACAGTCTTTCTTTAACTCTTATTTAAGAAGAGTATTGTCTGGTTGCTATTTTTAGACACTCCTTTAATTTGGGTTTTTATGGTATTTTCTCATACTAAAGTGAGGTTATACATCTTTGGCAAGAATGCTATAGAAGCAATCTTGTGCCCTTCACTGTGTGGCACATCAGGAGGCACATAATATGGATAGATTAATCTTAGTGACAATAACTCTGATCACTTAGTTAAGATGGTGTCTGCCAGGAGCCTCCTTATGTAATTAATAAATATCTTCTAAGAAGATGCCATGAGACTATGCAAATCACAGTAACCATATGTTTATGCATATTTTTGCAACCTTTTACCATAAAATTCCAATTAACAACTGCAGAAGAAGGGATCCCTGGGTGGCGCAGCGGTTTAGCGCCTGCCTTTGGCTCAGGGCGCTATCCTGCAGACCCGGGATCGAATCCCACGTCGGGCTCCCGGTGCATGGAGCCTGCTTCTCCCTCTGCCTGCTTCTCCCTCTGCCTGTGTCTCTGCCTCTCTCTCTCTCTCTCTCTCTCTCTCTCCCCCCTCCCCCTGTCTCTCATAAATAAATAAAATCTTAAAAAAAAAAAAAACAACTGCAGAAGAATAACAAAAGTGGCAAATCACTATTAGGCAAACACCACACTAATAATTCCTGCAGGGTATACAGAAGTCTCTATACTTCATTTGTAATTTTCATAAATCTAAAATGATTATTAAAAACTTAAAAGAAACTGGGGGATTTGGTTGAAAGAACTTTAATATAGGAATTAGTCATGAAGGCCAGTTGTAGGAAAAGGGGCCAGCTTTAAACAGCAGAAAGGGAGTTGAGAGAGGAGACACCAAGTTGCTCAAACCCAACAACTAGATTTGGTTATCTTAGTTTATTCTCCATGTTTCTTGACCAGTCTATCATATTTTCTATTCCACGTTTTTTATTCAGAACTTAATTATATATCATGTCTTTGATTTCTCTTCTGGGTTACTGTTTATTTCAATAGCTGTGTCTACTCCTTTGATTCCATTCGTTCAATTTATAATTTCTAGAAATTCTCTTTGGCAAATTTTCACAATTATTCTTTTTCATCTCTTGTTCCTTGCTAATGTTTTTAGTTTCTGTGTTCATACTCAAACATATTGAACAACATAATTTTATATTTCATTTCAAATAATAATGTTTAAATGTTAATATTTGGGGTTTCTGTTTGGTTTTGCTGGTTTGCAGTCATGAGATGTTGTTTCCTTATACACAAATTCTGATTGTGCAGGGTTGATTGGCGATTTGACCCTAGATTTATCTTTGCATCTTTTAAACAATTCTACTTTGTATCTTCTCTTTAACACAACAGAAAAACTCTCAAGGGATTTGAAATTTCAATATGTCCCTGTCAAATATTTTGATATAATTTTGTAATTGAATATAACATTGATAAAACCATGTCATACTTCTTGGAACAGTCATTTTGAACTGGAAATGATTTTTCTTGTTTATGCCCTGTGCATAGTACAGAATCTGGTATACATGGTGTGCTAAAAATCGCTTTGGGAAATAATAAAGTATTAAAGGATTTGTAAAGGAATTCAAATTGAGTTAAATATAGATGGACAATCATCATATAGTTTCATCATATGGTTTCATCATATGGGGAACTGAGTGGGAAAAATTAGAGAGGGAGACAAACCATGAGAGACCCCTAACTGGGAAACAAACAAAGGGTTAAGGAAAGGGAGGTGGATGGGGGGATGGAGTAACTGGGTGATGGGCACTGAGGAGGGTACTTGATGGGATGAGCACTGGGTATTATACTATATGTTGGGAAACTGAATTTAAATTTAAAAAATGTACAAAAAGGGATCCCTGGGTGGCACAGCGGTTTAGCGCCTGCCTTTGGCCCAGGGCGCGATCCTGGAGACCCGGGATCGAATCCCACATCAGGCTCCTGGTGCATGGAGCCTGCTTCTCCCTCTGCCTATGTCTCTGCTTCTCTCTCTCTCTCTCTCTCTGTGTGTGACTATCATAAATAAATAAATAAATTTTAAAAAAATATAGATGGACAACTGAACACAGCATGTATATTTCTAAATATTACCCTTCCGTTGAGATTTTGGTATTTACGTCAAGTCAATATTTCCACAGACATGTCCAGTTATTAACTCACACACACTGCAGGTCACAAATCTTTCCAAAGACACTATTCTTTTAGTGCCTCATGGTTTTGCCTGTCATTATCATACTCTGGTTGCTCAAACTATAAACTGAGCACTTATTTGTTTTTTAATTACCAACCATTTCTCACTTCTATGCTTTCCTTTCATGAACCAAAATTATATTCTCCCTGGTATTCACATCAGATCTTGTTTTCCTAATATTTACTTTTAGCCCCTTACACATGTATTTTTTTCTATAACATTCAAATCCTATTTATTTATTTAATTTTAATAATTTTACTTTATTGATTCATGACAGATACAGAGAGAGAGAGGCAGAGACACAGGCAGAGGGAGAAGTAAGCTTTCCATGGGGACCCAATGTGAGACCCGATCCCGGAACCCTGGGATTATGACCTGAGTTAAAGGCAGACACTCAACCACTGAGCCACCCAGGAATCCCTCAAATCCTATTTAGAAGCTAGAATAGTTTCATTATAGGACACATATGATCATTTTATGAATCTCATTTGCAAATCTGAGTAGACTTCTGTAATGGAAATTAAAATGGAACCCAAAGTACAGCACTCAAGGCTCTCCAAAGTGTCCTGTTTTAAATAGTATTTTCCTTGTCTGCACTGTCCTATGTTGGCCTTCACTCTAAACATACTGAACTGATAACTCTACACATAAATGGTCATGATTCCCATATCAGCATTCTTTTTTTCCTTTTCTTCCATTCACCTTCAGAACCCTCCTTCTGTCACGTTTGCTTCTGGGCTCAGGTGAAATGCACCCTCCATCTTGCAGCTTTGTGTGATTTTTTTCACATTGGAGTGACAGCATCTTCTGAGGCCCTGAAATCCTGTACTTTAATCTACTATTTAGCGCATTCCTCTTGTTACTACGTGATGTATGCATCTTACTCATATACTAGCATGTAACCAACTTTATGTCAAGACTTACATTTCTGTTTCCCAAATTATCAATCATCATGTTCCATAAAATGTACTATATTATCTACTAGACTTGCTTAAATGGATTATTCTTTTATATTTAAAAATTGTCAATTAAAATATATCATTTTTGTTTTAATATATTTAAAATGAACTCCTAAAATACTGCAGCCATTTCCTCTAAAATATTTAAATATTTCATATCTCCTTTTAGACAAATACTCTATAGGACTGTGCCTCGTCAACAACGACAAAGTGTTCTCACATAGTGTCATTTCTTAACTCTAGAAATTAATTTTTAACTTGATCTGTATCTAAATTGCCTCTTCACTCTGTGCCCAGCAAACATTTAACTTCTGTAGAGCAGTGTGTAAGGAACCTACTGTCATGATGTCTACAAAATGGATTTCAGCAATTGTGCTGCTGCAGTTCTGCTACACTGGCTGTGGATTCTGTGGGAAGGTCCTGGTGTGGCCCTGTGACATGAGCCCTTGGCTCAATATAAGGATTATTCTGGAGAAACTCACAGAAAGGGGCCATGAGGTGACTGTGTTGGTGTCTCCACAGAGTTTCATCATTGACTACAACAAGCCTTCCACACTGAAATTTGAGGTGATCCCCATGCCACACGACAGAGAGGCTGCTGAAAAGTCGCTAGATCATTTTTTAGACATAGCTACTAATGTTATGCCAACATTGTCACACTGGCAGTCAGCATTAAAGCTGGAAGAATTCTTACTTCAAGATGATGGAAATTTCAAACTGTGTGAGACTATAGTCTACAACCAGTCAATCATGAAGAAACTCCGGGAAGCTAATTACAATGTAATGGTCATAGACCCTGCATTACCCTGTGGAGAGCTGATTGCTGAACTACTGGGGGTCCCTTTTGTGTATACGGTAAGGTTCTCTATTGGTGACACTGTGGAAAAATACTGTGGGAAGCTTCCAGCTCCACTTTCCTATGTTCCTGTTACCATGGCGGCACTAACAGACAGAATGACTTTTCTGCAAAGGGTAAAAAATTTAATGTACTCCATTTTCTTTAAGTTCTGGACCCACCAACATGACAATCCTTTTTGGAACCAGTTTTACAGTGAAGTATTAGGTAAGTGATTGCTTTTCATTCTAAAGTAGTTGTGTAAAGAAACTTAGGTGGTTTAAAAAAAGTCTAGGAAAATGAAGAGTATATTTTTAAAAGTTTCAATTCCACATGAACCTTTATAAGTGATAGCAATAAACTTATCCATAATCAATTGGGAGGATGAGGCAAGAAATATCTTGGAATGGTTACCCTGTCTTTACAGTCATCTAACCAGTTTGTAAGGTACCGTGATACTTAATAGATTGTTATCAAAAAACAAAATATAAAACACACTAATAAATGTCAGTCTAATGGAAGGTATATTTTTTTTATCAGATATAGGATATCGCAAATGAGTCTTGTATACTGAGTTTTCATAATGGAAGAGATTTGACATTTTATTGGTTAAAGAAGTGTAATATTTGTTGCAAAAGTAAGATAATCCTTTTGCCTGATTGTGGTAACAAACTGAAGCCTGAACTATATTAACAATGGATTAATTTTGGCATATATAATTTCCTTTGTCTGAATTTTCACCCACAAATTTTGAGACTCATTAATTATTACATTTAAAATGTATATTATTCTCTCCTGTTGGGCCAGAGTCTTTGCCATTCATCTCTCTCTCTCTTTTTTTTTTTTTTTTAACACGGAATGAAACTTCATTAGTCTTACGTGAACTGTTTCATCATAGCTGGTCATACTGAAAAGGTTTCTAGAAGCTTTATACTCCTTAAGGGAGTACTACACAGAAACTAGAAAAATTAAATGGAAAACTAAAAAAGTTAATAGCTTGAGTTGTTGAAAGATAGCCCTTTTTTAATTACTAATGACAGATATTCTATTTTATCTGATTGCTTTTTCTAATAAGGAATGGTTTTGCTTTGCAATTTTCATATGTTTGGCTCTCATTTGATTCCATCAACTGAGGTTGGCTTCCACTCCCAACTATTTTTGAGAATCTTGGTGTTGCCAAGTCTGGTTTCTCTGGGATATTGGGTTAAGGCCCACTCTTAGGACCTCATTCTAATATAATTACTTCTTTAAGGTATCTAATTCAAAATATGATCAGATTTCAACATGAATGTTAGAGGAACACAAGTCAGTCTGGAACACTGACTTTCCAATAGATACCTTGTTTCACAAACAATATATTCAAAGGAATAAATTTTAAAACTCCTTAGCTTTATACATGATTTAAGTTTATACTGTGATGATTTCACTGCAAATAATTTGAGAACCAGGAAGCGCAACGTGGGTGTAGGTAGTGTGTTGGGTTCTATGGATTTAAAGTAAAGAAGACAGGATTTTGGTCTCAATTCTAGTCTCATAAATAAATGCAAGATATAGAAAAATAAATATGTTCTGTTAATAAGAGAAACTTTTCCAGGGCTATCGATGAATTTTTAGTCCATTTGTCATATTATGCATAAAGAGGAGAAAGTTGTAGGATTCTCTGTATAAATATTATGGAATAGATGTCATCCTTAGGATCTATGGCAAATGTTTAACTCTGTCATCTTTAGTAGGCTTGTTTGTTTGTTGTATGTACTTTTGTTGATTTTCAATCCTGCATTCTCTCATATTCTTTATCAGGAAATTCTGAATATACCATTACCATAACTTCCTTGTCAATCTCATAATAAAAATAACTAATAAAATGGCTGAAAAATTTAAACAGAACAAAAATATATATGATGAATAATAATTAGCTTCATATTTCTCTACATAAGCACTATTAACTATTCTGGTCTTTATATCAAGATATTATCTGTGCTTCATTAAACATAAATATTTATTAAATACATCTTTTCTTTCTTCTTTGCCATTAGGAGGAATGACTAAATATTCATTTTTGCCTTTCTTTTCACCGAATCTAGATTTGATATCTTTCTGCAGAATATTTTAAAATTTACATTATTCTTTACATTCACTTATAGTATTAGTTTTAATGGATGTAAAAATCATTGAACTAGTCTAGTCATGATAGCTACTTGGGTTGTTCCAACTCTGGTATTACAAAATAAGTTGTCCTAAATCTATTGCACTTATCTCGTTGCCACAATGTTCTCTAAAATTGCTGGATCATTTAGCCTTTATCCTGAGATCTTTTTTGAGGTTGATAAAAATTATTCCATTTTCCTCAAGTCTGTTTATCTTAGTACCTGTAAGAACATTTTAGGGAATTTAAGCCTTTTTTCTATAATATGTGTACAAATATATTTTAAGCCCAATGAATTGATGTGAAAATTTTCAACTAATTTACGCAGACATAAAAATATTTTATATCTATTTCAAAATATTATGCATCTACTCTCAGATTTTAGAAAATATCATACCAACAAAAGAATATGTAAAATGTAAGTGTACCATTGAAAGAAATAATAAAATAAACTTTTGTTTACTCTATAAGTAAGTTAAGAAATAGATTGTTGTCAGTATCTTAAAAACTTCTTTCTTATAGTGGAAACTATAAACCTGACTCTGGTGAACATTTTGAAAATTTCACATCTGCTATGTATATGTGATTCTTTCAAAACTTTATTGTTTAGTTTTTTTGAATAGTGTACAAATACAGTTTGCTATTTATGCTCAATATTCTTTGGTGATGGAATCATGCATTTTCTCTCTTTTTTAAAAAGTTCTCTATATAGTGTTTTATTGTGTAACTACACCATGCCAATCTATGAATGGACATCTGGCTGTGTAAAGTGTTTTATGTAATGCTGCTGTTATGAACACTCTTGTATTTGTCACCTGTTGTATAAGAGCAATAGTATAAATAAGGTATAAGGTATATACATTTTCCCCTACCAGATAATCTCAGAGCTTCCTAAAAAATTTATACTTCAACAAACATTATGTAAATTTGTAGTTTATCTGTTAACAGGGCATTTTAGTCCCACTGCTCCATGTCTATTTTCTTTGAGTCTATTTATCTGACTGACCTACAACGAATATTCTAGGGAATTTAAGTCTTTTTTTCTATAATATGTCTTGCAAATACGTTTTAAGCCCATCAGTTGACTTGGGGATTTTCAACTAATTTACACAGACATAAAAATGTATCTCTCTCCACACCTTTTCAACACAATACTGAAGCTTCTAACTAAGGAAATAAGACCAGAAAAGGAAATAATACAGAGACCAGAGATAGACCCAACCAAGGTAGTCCAGTGATATTTGACAAGGAAACAAATGTAGTACAATGGATAGTCTTTTAAGAAATGATGCTGGAGACAATTGGACATCCACATGCAAAAAAAGAACATAAGTACAGGACTTACTCCCATCACAAAATTTAACTAAAAATAAATCATAGATCTAAATGTGAAATGCAAAACTATAAAACTCCTGGAAGATAACCTAGAAAAAAACCTAGATGATCTTGGACATGGCAATGAGTATTTGTACACAACACCAAAGGCACAAAATAGAAATAATGAATATGTCAGACTTCATTAAAATTAAAAACTTCTGCTCTGTAAAAGACAATTTCAAGAGAATGAAACAATAAGACACTGATTGGGAGAACATACCTGATAATGAATGTTATCTAAAATATTTTATAGGAGCCCTTGCGTGGCTCAGTTGGTTAAGCATCCAACTCTTGATTACAACTCAGGTCATGATCTCAGGGTTGTGAGCTTGAGCCCTGAGTCTGGCTCCACACTGGGCATGGAGATTGAGCTTCCTTAAGATCCCCTTTCTCCCTCTCTCTCTGATCCCTCTCAAAATATTTATGTATATATTAAACTCTTAGAAAGCCATAAGGAGACATACAACACAATTAAAAAGGAAGCGAAGCAGAAACCTCAACAAAGAAGATACACAGTTGGCAAACAAATATGTAAAAAGATGCTCCATATCATGTGTCATGAGGTGAATGCAAGTTAAAATAATGATATAGCACTACACATCTGTTAGAGTGGCCAAAATGCAGAATAGTGACAAATACCAAAAGCTGGCCAGTTGTGGAACAGGAATTCTCATTTATTGCTAGTGGGAATGCAAAATGCTATAGCCACTTTGGAAGACATTTTGATGGTTTCTTACAAAAGTGAGCATACTCTTACCATACTATCATACTCCTTAGCATGTACCCAAATAAGCTGAAAACTTTTGTCTGTACAAAAATGAGGCATGGATATTTATAGCAGCTTTATTCATATTTGCCCAAACATGGAAGCAATCAAGCTGTTCTCCAGTAGGTGAATGGATAAATGGTAGATCTAGATAATTAAATGTTATTCAATACTAAAAAGAAATGAGCTATCACACCAGAAAAAGACATTGAGAATCCTAAAATGCATATTACTAGGTCAAAGAATGCCTCCTTAAAGGATAAATACTGTAGAAGTCCAACTATATGACATTGTGGGAAAGGCAAAACTAAGGAGACAATACACCATCAGTGTTTTCTAGGAGTGGGGGCGGGGTTTGGGGTGGGGAGGAAGAGGGATAAAAAGGCAGAAACAGAGGACTTTTAGGGCAAGCGTAAATACTCTGTTACCAGAATGATGGATAGTCAGATAGATATCATCCTACCTGTGTCCAGTCTCATAGAATGAACAATACCAGGAGTGTACTATAATGTAAACTACAGACTTTAGATAATTAGAATGTGCCAGTGTAAGTTCATTAAGTAAAGAACTTATACCTGATATACCACGATGTTTGCGGATATTAATAATGGAGAGTCTATGCATGTGTGAAGGCGAGAGCATGTGAAATATATCCGCCTTGGGGCACCTGGGTGGCCCAGTGGTTTAGCCTCTGCCTTTGGCTCAGGTCATGATTGCAGGGTCCTGGGATTGAGGCCCACATCAGACTCCCTGCAGGGAGCTTGCTTCTCCCTCTGCCTGTGTCTCTGCCTTTCTCTCTGGGTTTCTCATGATATATATATATATATATATATATATATATATATATATATATATATATCTTTCTCTCAATTCTACTGTGATCCAGAAACTGGTCTAAATAAGTAAATTATTACTTTTTAAAACAGTGATCCAGAAATAATGTTTTTTTCCTCACTTGTTTTCAAAGAGAAATTAATAATCTTAGCCTAGAAAAGCTGTCTCTAGGTATCAACCCAGCTAACATGACTTCTCTCTGAGATACTGGTAACTGTCCACTGAAATTCCCTCCTATCTATCTTGCTTATAGTAAGGCATTTTGCTATGAAATCAGACTCTTTGAAATTAAAAGCCACCTTAGTAGACTCATCATGTAGGTTTATAACACTCTATTCAAACATTAGCAGTATTTACATAGTAACTCCAATTTAATAGCTCATTTATGTAATTCTGCACTGTGTTCCTAACTCAGTGTGTGTGAATCATTTAATTATAGGAAGAATTTGGTGGTTGATTTTAATTCTATATTTTTGTTTTACAATTCCTCAATATAACATTTAGAATGTGTTATGAAATTATGTGCCAATATTTGCATGCTTTTGTTTAATTTTATTCTCTTTACTTTTGTTTGATTCTGTATTTGTAACTGTGCACCACTGCTTCAAAAAAAGAATTTTAGCAAATATTTAAGTTAGGTACTTCTCAAAATGTGGCCTATAAGTTATGTGCAATAATTTCACCTAAGGAGGTGATAATCAAGACATGACATCATACATTGAATAAGACCTCTAATGTACAGAAATATTTTGACGTGGAACCTGTGAAGTGGTGTGTTTATCCAATCTCTGGTGTTTTCAAGTTGAATGTCCTTGAGAAATTCTTCTTCATTATCAAATTAAGACATTTGACTATATAACATCAGACATAAATTCAAACACTACAAAGCAATGACTAAAAAGAGGCTCTACTGTCTGTGTTATATATGATCACCAATTTTGGTTATGATCTTTTAGAAAGGAAATTCTCATATGAATTTTTATTTGTTTAAATGGAAAACATGGGTTTTTCTTGGTTTCCAAATATGGCTGATTTTCTCACTTGCAAATAATCATTCCTCCCCTTTACAATCTTTTAAAATTAATACTCAGAATCTTCCTTTCAAAAAACATCTTTTAAAGGTAGCACCAAAATAACTGTGTGATTTTGATGATGTGTACATGTATATTTCACATTCCAAAGGGGTTTGTATTGGTTATGAATTATTCAGAGAATTCCTACTAATGAAATATTGTCAAATCAATTGTGGTGGACAGTGATGGGATTTGATTCAGGAAGGTAAAGTAAACAAATACTGGTGGGATTCTTTATCATTATGAGTGAACCAGAGACTATAACTGGCTGGGAGGTAGAGAAACAATCTGAATTGGAAGTTAAAAAAAACATTGAGAGGGAATTTGTGTTGATATAATGGGGCTAATCTATCAGCTGCCATTTAACTGGAGAGAAGCAAGAAGTATTACATTTATCATACATGGAGTTGTGGTTAAATTTTTTATTGAATTTGTTATTGTGAAAGTACACTTGCACATTACTTTCCCTACCTAAATATCCTCTGACCCACCCTCCTTCTCATTTCTCATCCTTCTCTTTCTTACCTCCTCTTTATTCCCTCCCTCTCTCCCTCTCTTCTCTACCTTCCTTCCTCCCTCTCTTCCTCTCTATCCCTCTTTCTTTTCCTTTCTTCCTTCCTTTTCTTTCTCTTTCCTTCCTTATCATTTTAATTTTCCCTTCCTTTTAACATCTCAATGTGATAAATAATCTAGGAGACATAGATTTATCTTTTTCCTTAATAGCCTGTCAGTAAATTAGTGTAGATTGTATTCCAACAAATATATATACTGGTAACCTTTACTCGACTTTTTTTTTTTTCCTCCAGGAAGACCCACTACATTATGTGAGATTATGGGGAAAGCAGAAATTTGGTTAATCCGAACATATTGGGATTTTGAATTTCCTCGCCCGTACTTACCTAATTTTGAGTTTGTAGGAGGGTTGCACTGTAAACCTGCCAAACCATTACCTAAGGTAGGTCTATTACATTGGAGGATTTCTTTCGTATCTTAAGATATAATGCTGACTCTTCTTTAAAGTATACTTCCTTGATAACAGACATATGCTGTTTTTTTGTTCCTCATCTGTTTTGCAAAACATAAAGGTCTCTTATGATTGATATTACCTTTTTAGACTTCACTTTGATATTTTGGCTGAAGAAAGAAATAATTCAAGCGGCAAGTTAAAATAGCAGTGTGTCTACAGTTTGGGTACTGAATTGATGTAACAGTAAACTAAAGCTTTGGAAATACCCCAAAAGTTTGCGATAGTCTTCCTAACTTTCTGACTATGATGGAGTTATGAATTGGGACTGTTAATAACTGGTTGAATGCTAATGATTTCATGAGAACCCTCAGGTAGATTCCAGAGTTTTGTCAGTAAGAAGAAAGTGTTGACAAAAGACATGGACTCAGGTAGCACTTCTTGAAGAAAAGTGATCTCTACCAAGATAAAAAAAGAATTCATGGAAAAAACTTTTTTTTTTTTTTGCGATGACAATGATGAATTCAGTTTTGGACCAATTCACTTTCAAGACTCAAAGAATTTTCAGGTGGATATTTCTAGTAATCATTTGGGATCATACAAGGTCTAGGTTTTAGCAGAGAGCATTAGAAACAGATTAGGAGTCATTGAAATAAAGAAGTCATAGAACTAAGAGACAGAAACACTGAATTCATTCTTTGTTTTTAATGTTATTTATTCATGAAAAACCCACAGAGAGAGGCAGAGACATAGGCCGAGGGAGAAGCACGCTCCCTATAGGGAACCTGATGCGGGACTCAATCCCAGGGCCCCGTGATCACGATATGAGTCAAAGGTAAATGCTTAACCAATGAGCCACACAGGTGCCCCCAAACTGAATTTATTCTTTAGGACCATGTTGTCAGGTTTTTCTGAAACGAAAAGGAAAATTGTATACCACAATCCAAAGTCATCAACAAATAAATGTGGACAGTCAAAAATGTTGGAAGAAGACGATATGAGAAGTAATAGAGAATAATAGATAAACATAATAAAATATTGTATTTAACTATCTTTATCAATAACTACCTTTATCAAGGGATTGAAGAGGTAGAGACTCATTTGCTTAGGATGTAGGTGAGTGAACATAACCTCTGTAGAAGATTGAGGTTGAATAGTGTTCTCAGGAGGTTCTTGATTTCTATTTTGGGTAAGATACACATTTAGGTTTAAATTTTATTTTAGGATTCTGAATATGCTTTTATTACCAGTCAAGTTATGGCTGCACGTAAGCTCTATTAAGTGTTATTATAGCAGATAATAAACCAATATCAAAGAAAAGTATGGAAAGAGACAAAACATATTCCTTGGCTCACAAGACAATACCTCATGCCACACTATTATATTCATCATGCCACCTTTACTTTTCATATGCACAATTTTACAAAACAACTCAGACACGTTTTACAAGGGGGGTGGATTATTCCATTCCAAACCCAATTGCTAATACAAACATTTGGGCAATATGAACACCAACATAGCTTATATCTCTGATGAAAAAGTTGTGCCAGGGACTGCATACACAGGAAGAAAGCAATGAAAGCCAGCCAAATCAAGAATCCAAATCTAACTGCTATATATATATTTTGTGTGTGTGTGTGTGTGTATTTGTGTATATATATATATATATATATATATATATTCAATCACTGTTTCAGGGAGGCAAATCAAAATGGCAAAATGCCAACTCCTGGGACTTCAGAGATATTTTCCCAATATAATCTAAGCTAAAATAGCAGTGCACTTTCATGTATAACATCATCCTTTCCCTAGTAATTTTAAAAGCCTTGAATTGAGAAATGCATTGAGAAATAAATAAATATAATTGAGAAATTCAATAAATATATTGAGAAATATCACAACGAAGCCAATAATACTAACACAGGGAAAGCACGACAGATCTATACATGTTGATAATCACATGTATCACAAATCAAAAGACCTCAAAGAGACTTTGCAGTGACCACCTTGCATAACTCTAAGTAGTGACCAGAGGGTTTTATTTGTATAGGAGTTTATATTAACCAATGTGCTAAGGTTCAAATTAAGGGTGTATCAGCTATTTGTGAGAAGGTAGAGAAGCACTATCTCATAAATGTTATCTTCATTTAAAACAACAACAACAGTTTTTTAACTTTTAAACTGTATTACTATATTGTCAATTCTAAAAAAAATCATTTTTACTCCAATTCATCAGGCAAAGAATAAACATGAGAAAATTATCCTGAAGTCCTAATAGAGAGTTAGATTGACTTATTACCAATATAACGCAGGTAAACTGACATGCACGTTTTAAAAGTCTAGTTAGGATCCTTTTGTAGGCTTCTTACGTGGAATATTTTTGAGTTTTCAAATATCTCCGCTGGTTCATAAAATTAAGCCTTGAGCATAAGAGTTCCATGAGCCATGGGAAGAGATGTCTCTTATTGCCTATTCACTTTGTATAATGGTTCAGTTTCTGATAGTTTTCAGAAACCTATTTCCTCTTAAAGATGCTAGATTGTTCTCTGTGGCAGAGAGTAGAACCAGTCTAACATCTCGGATACTTCTCTTGACGTCTATTTTAGAAGTGTAAGTGAAATCTTTCCCTGTGATCCTGCACATTTTTAATAAAGATAATTTTATCACTGTAGGGAATGGAGGAATTTGTCCAAAGTTCAGGTGAAGATGGTGTTGTGGTGTTTTCTCTGGGGTCAATGGTCAAAAATCTCACAGATGAAAAGGCCAATCTCATTGCCTCGGCTCTTGCCCAGATTCCACAGAAGGTCAGTACAACTTTGGGGCCTGGTGGATAGCCACTCTGCCAATTGGATAGAAAGTGTGATGAATAGGACTCTTTCTAAATGAACTCTGAAACACTGAGCATAACTGGTACCACCTTCAAGTAAAAATTTCTTAAAACATTAAATAGTATACGGGGGCACATTTAATCATTTTCTTAGTAAGTCTCTGCATTACTATGGAAATACATCTTTTCATACAATCACTTATTTTCAGTGAAATGGAGATGACAATGTTAAGATCCCAAAAATCTTTTACTATTTGTATCTTATGACCTCCACTGACTATTCCCCAAAGTCTCAAGTGTGTTAGCGCCAGGTCCAGGAAAAGAGTGATGGTGTACATTAGAATAGACAGGAATTATGCTCAAGGATATACATTATATTTTGAGGTTTTACTGAGACTATATCAATATCTAGTTGGTTTAAAAGTCAAAGCCTAATCTTTCTAATTTGAAATTTCTACAGTTAAAAACAGTTAAAAATCCTAATATTATTATTAAACAATATATATTTTCTGATTTATTATATTCAATTAACTTGAAGTTTGTTGTCATTATAGTTCTAGATTTCTACTTTTTATAGATTCCTCTTCGTGAAATACCCTAGAACTTTTTATGTTTGTATATTAGTTAAAATATATAAACCTCCATAATGGTAAGCATTACTAATTAGGGCTGTTAAGTCTTTGCTATTTATTTCTGCACTTTTTGCCACCCAAGGATGTGGAGAAAAAGGCACTCTTTTGCATGGCTGGCAGGAATGCAAACTGGTGTAGTCACTCTGGAAAACAGTATAGAGGTTCCTCAAAAAGTTAAAAATAGAACTATACTATGATCCAATAATCATGCTACCGGGTATTTACCAAAAGAATGCAAAAAGACTAATTCAAAGGGGTACATACCCCGGTGTTTATAGCAGCTTTACAATAGCCAAGTTATGGAAGCAACCCAAGTGTCCATGGACAGATGAATGGATAAAGAAGACATGGTGTTATGTAAGTGATGAATCACTCAATAATACTCCTGTAACCAACATTACACTGCCTGTTAACTAACTAAATGTAAATAAAAATTGAAAAAAAAAAAAGATGTGCTATACATATACAATGGAATATTTTTTTCAGCCATACAAGAGAATGAAATCTTGCCATTTGTAAAGACATGGGAGTTGCCAGAGAATATAATGCTAGGCAAAATAAGTCAAAGAAAGACGAATACCATATGATTTCACTTGTATGTGGAATTTAAGAAACAAAACCAATGAACATGGGGCAAAAGAGTGAGAGAGACAGACAGACAGAGAAACCAAGAAACAAACTCTTATAGAGAACAAACTGATGGCTACCAGAGGAGAGGTGGATGGGGGGATGGGTTAAATAGGTGGTGGGGATTAAGGCATGCACTTATCATGATGACTACTGGATGAGGTACTGAATTGTTGAATAAACTAAAAACTTAAAAAAAAAGAGTTCACCATCTATTAATATTTAATCTGAACTTAGTTTTACAGAGCTCCCTACTCTGCAACAAGTATGTAAGAAAACGTTAACATCCTAACAAGATACCTCATTAAATAGTGAAATAAAGCAAACCTCCAGCTCTTCCTCCCTCAAAAACTACAGAGAAAGGGAGAGAGGGAGAGGGAAAGGGAAAAAGAGAGAGAGAGAGAGAGAGAGAGAGAGAGAGAAAGAAGAAGAAGAAGAAGAAGAAAGAAGAAGAAGAAGAAGAAGAAGAAGAAGAAGAAGAAGAAGAAGAAGAAAGGAAGGAAGGAAGGAAGGAAGGAAGGAAGGAAGGAAGGAAGGAAAGAGGGATGGAAGGAAGAAGAAAGGGAAGCACGAAAGAAGGAGACAGTCATTTAACAAGCAGACAACAAACACTTAAAGCTAATTATATTTTCAGAAAATGTTATATTTGAAACATGAGACTTAAGATGGCCTTATGACATTAATAAATTACCAGTTTTCATGTTTATTTCAATGCTATTTAAAAAACCCCATGCTCTGATTAAACTAGTCTTTTTATTTTTTTAATATCTCTTCACTTATAATGCCACACCTCAAAACTTTTAAGTGAGAAATGCAAAAATGATGAAACCATACTTAATAAACTATTAGTACAAGCCCCTTTTGACAGGGTTAATGTAAACAGTCCTCCTATATCTCCGTGTTTGCAAACGACCCCTTATGTCCACTTCTCTCACGATCACATAAAGTAGTGGTGGGCTACAGAACTTACAAATAATTCTACAGCCCTAAGATGCCTTCACTGTGCGTTTTTACTTGCAAAATTAAAGCACTGTCTTTGACAGGTTTTATGGAGATACAAAGGAAACAAACCAGCCACGTTGGGAACCAATACTCGGCTCTATGACTGGATACCCCAGAATGATCTTCTTGGTAAGACTGAGGGGAAGAAAACCTGTACAGTTGGATAATGGGCAAGTAAAGTGGCTGTTTAGCAGCAAATACATTCAATGAATATTTAATAGATAAAATGTCACGTTTTAGGCTAAAATCAAAAACACACAAAACGAAAAATGTTGGTAAAGTTGTGAAGAAAAAGGAACTCTCTTGCACTGCTGGTGGGGATGCAAACTGGTGCAGCCACTCTGGAACACAGTATGGAGGTTCCTCAACAAGTAAAAAATAGAACTACCCCATGATCCAGTAATCACACTACCGGAGGTTTACCCAAAGAATACAAAAGAACAAATTCAGAGAGATACATGCACCCCTATATTTATAGCAGCATTATTTACAATAGCCAAGATATGAAAGCAGCTTAAGTGCCCATCGATTGATGAATGGATAAAGAAGTGGTATGTGAATACAATGGACTATTGTTCAGTTTTAAAAAGAATGAAACCTTGCCATATGCAATGATATGGATAGAGCGGGGAGTATAGTGCTAAGAGAAATAAGTCAAAGAAAGGTAGATACCATAAGATTTCCTTCACATGAGGAATTTAAGGAACAATAACAACAGAAGAAGAAATGAGCAAAGGAAAAGTAAAAAAGAGAGCGAGACAAACCAAGAAAGAGACTCTTAACTATAGGGAACAAACTGCTGGTCCCCAGAGAGGAATTGATTGGACGGGGCAAGGATAAAATAGGTGATGAGGACTAGGGAGTGCACTTGTTGTGATGGGTACTGGGTGGTGTATGGAGGTGCTGAATCACACTATATTGGACACCCCAAACTAATACAACATTGTATGTTAACTACACTGGAATCTAAAACAAAATTTAATAAATAAATAAATAAATAAATAAATAAATAAATAAATAAATCAAGCTAGAAAAAGAAAATCAAATGTCACATTTTACTTGCCGTCTTAAAGCAGAAATAATTCGAGAAGTGGCAGTTCATTTTAGAGAGTCGGTGCTTTCTTCGATTCACAAAAGAGCATCTTCAGTTGAGACTCCCATCACTCTTCAAGTTTCAGTCTCAGTTCAGGTATTTCCTCCTCAGTAGAGTCTTTGCAGACAATGCAGAGGGAACTACTGCCTCCCTTCCTGGGATCATAGTTTTCTGAGATAGTCATAGCCCAGGTGCTCTTGGCTTTTGTAGAAAACTGCTGCTTTCTTCATTGAGTTACCCCTGTAGTCTTTTCCCTCTCTCTCTCCAATTCTGTTAACCCATGACAATGAAATCCTCATCCACTTCTCACCCAATTCCAAACTAGGTCATCCCAAAACAAAAGCTTTTATCACTCATGGTGGAAGCAATGGGATCTATGAAGCTATTTATCACGGGGTTCCTATGGTGGGAGTGCCTTTGTTTGCTGATCAGCCTGACAACATCGCTCACATGAAGGCCAAAGGAGCAGCTGTGGAGCTGAACATCAACACAATGACCAGTGCAGATCTGCTCCATGCCCTGAGAACAGTCATTACTGAACCTTCGTAAGTACTATGGCTTTAAAGGCCTACCGTGGGTTAGGCTACCCATCACACCTGGAAATATTCAGCGTTTCGTGCCTTGTAACTGATTTACTTTTAAATGACAACCATAACATGACCTATATCAAAACCACTTTTTCATTTTCTTTTTTTTAATGTTTTTAAATATTTTTAAGGGTTAAAAAGTGTTTAAAGTTTGTAATTCCTAGTAGGAAAACATTATCTGAATGAATACCCTAATGGCAAACCACTGTAGAATGTTTCAGCTGTATGTGGGGCAGAGGGGTAGGGATTCACTTCACAGCAGCCCAGCTTTCTTCTTGAGGCAGAGATACACTGGTTTGTATTACTGTGACACCCATTAGGTGATCAAAGTTGCTTTTCCTTCAACAAGGGCTTTATTTGTCAGAAGGGCATTATGCTTGACCTCCAAATTTGGCTGACAATTTACTGATGATATTTTGACATATTTACTCTGATATTTTGGCATATTTGCTGGGTTTTGGGCTACATCCTGGAAGGCCACCATAACTTCTGGATCCTGCATGGCTGCAAGAACCTCTGGGTCACTAAGAATTTCATTGGGCCCAGGCATTCCTGCCATTCCAGGCATCCCCCCTGCCATTCCAGGCATTCTTCCAGAAAAATTACTAGGCATTCCCTACCCGCCTGCCCGTCCCTGGAAAGCCACCTGGGAAAGAGCCATACTGAGCTCCTGACTGTCATCTGGCTTCTTCCTCCCTCTGGGCTCTCTCATATTCTTCCCCAGTCTTCTTAACCTTTTCTATTCTCTTTGATCTCTTGCTCTTCACGTTTTCGTTCATACTTCCTCCGATGTTCAGCAATTTTCTGGGCCCTCGGTTGAACTTCTTTCAGCATTTTACTAACATCTTCATCGTAATCCAGTTTACAAGCAAGGTCAAGATCATGTGCTGCTTCTTCCCAATGACCCAGAAGTCTGTGTGCTTTCCCTTGCCACTTGTAAGGCTGAGCTGAATCAGGATTTATTTCAATAGCTCTGTCACAGTCTCAAATGGCAGCATTTGGCTTCTGTAATTTGATGAGGACACTGGCTCTCTTGGCATACAAAATGGCTAAGCGAGGATTCGGTTTGATGGCATCTGTGAACAAGTCAATGGCTTTCTGTAGTTCAATAATTTTGGGAATCAATGGCAGCCACCTTTTTTTTTTTTGGCAGCCACTTTTTTATCATTTGCTTGATCCATCATTTTGTTGGTTACCTCTACATTTTCATCTCCCATTTCTTGAGGGGTGTCAGTATCTGGTTCAATTACACCTTCATTGTCAATTTCTAGATCACTTTCCTCACCTGATGGTTCCTCTGTCTTTATGTTTCCCTTCGCCTCCTTACTATTTGTTTTTTCTTCCTTGGTATCGTCTTCTGATTTGGTTTTATGAGTAGCAGGTGGTATTTCACCCCCAAGCACTCCACCCACTCCCGCAGGAAGTGCATTTCCTCGGTGTGCAGAACGCTCGGATCCTGCTTATGCATTTTGACGAAGGCACGAAGCTTGCTCACTTTGCGGGGGTCTGTGGTCCAGGGGCGCTGGCAGGTGGCAGGCGCTGCTGAGGTTACAGCCCCATTCCAGGCGCGGGTACTAGCTCAGCATCACTGTGTGGATGGGGCTATTTTTTCATATTCTAAACATTGAAGTGATTTGCTGAAAATCAGGAAAAAAAGACTAATGCTTCAAATATTTTATTAATGTTTTTTTTCAGAATGAATAATGATCATGTGAGTTCTCAGAAATTTTCTGAATATGCTTGTTTGTATAGACAAACATACATATGCTTATTTAAATATTATGAGCATTCACAAAGTACCAAATTGGAAATGATAATTCACTCTGTCATTCAAAAATAACCATCATTAACACTGACTATACCATTGATCAGTATATGCATATACACAGGGAAGAGAGATACTGAGTAGGTATTAATTTTATAAATATTGGTATTAGTATGCATGGATTTTTAAACAAAATTGTGAATTTCATCTGATTTAGCAATTGAAATTTTCAATTGATGTCATTATCTTCATCTCTTTCAGTTAATCAATCTGATTAATTGAAAGGAGTCTATAAATTATATTGAACTTTAGTTATATATCATTATATGCTATTTTTTCTCTGAATTGTCTCACCAAACTAAAGAATTAATATATGAATACAACTTTAAGTCTTTATTTTTATGGATTTTTTATTTTTGCAAAAGTTGAATTCTAGCTATAGAAATAAATCTCATCTCAAAGAGATATGTATTACTTAAAATTTTAATTTCTGAATATTTATGCCACTTATTTACTTAAATTAAGTCTTTTTGCAGTATTTTAAGGAAATACACTATTTACCATTAAGTAGAGATTCATTACTCCAAAATGTTTCAGATTCATTCTTAACTGAATATATTACATGAAATTTTCATTCAATGAAGACTCATGGATATTAAATTTCCAGATCAGCCTGGAAAAAAAATCATTTTTTAAAAAAATTCAGACCTAATTAATGATGTATTATTATATATTATTTTCTATATTTTCCCTAGGTTATATTATGTTCTTTCAATACTGTTAATGTAGAACAAAAATTAAAATTTTTCTTCTCAGAGTTTTTTTTTGTTACTCATAGAATGTTTGGTAGTTCCATTTTTTCTCTATTTCAGAGATGTCAAATTTCAGTGGTCTCTATTTTAAAATATCTTGGTTTGTTTTCCTTCTCTATTAGTTTCTAAGTATCCTAATCATTTTTTACCTTTCTTAAGTCACTGAGATTTCCTCAATCTCTAAATTAGTAAATTTACTTTTTTGCCACTAGAAAATACTTTTTCTAATTTCTTTATTAATCCTTGAAGGAGGTATTTTTAACAATTTATTTCAACAGCTCACCTATACCCTTTATCACCACTTTTTGTTTTATAACCTGATTTTCTGTTATTCATAACACTTGCATTCTTATTTTACTTCAATGCTCCTCTTTTTTGAACTGTGTATTATGCCTAATTACATTCTAAGCCCATCATTTTTATGGTCCCCCCCCAACATTATATAAGTTGTTATCAAGGCATTATCTTTATCTAATACTCTCAGTATTTGCTCTGAATTTGTATAAGTGCTTTATGTGTACACTTGTTTCCAGATTATCTCAGACTCAATTATTTTTTTTTCCAGAGGCAAAACTCAAGAGATTGTTACAACATTCTATTTGTATTACTCAAATCTGAAATTCATATTTCAGAGGAGAAAGTCAACTCAAATGCAATTTTGTTGGAACTAATCTACATAAAAGCATCTACTCAAAGTCCTAGTTGCAAGGTTTTTAGACAAAGGAGTTGACGTACTCATCCCCAAAAGGGAAGACACTCAATGTTTGCCTTGAATCCAACTTGAAAAATCAATGCTAGTTGTCCAGTTCCCCCTCCCACACACATTCCAATCAAGTGACTTTTATTAAGATGCGCATTTAAGTCATAATTTTCAAAATATTACAAAAAATGGATATTACATCCATTTGGGAGATGGACCCAGGGTTAGGAGCTTCAGCAAGGCCATGATCTTCTGTTTCTCATAAATGATGATCTTGATGTCTAATGCATTAGACTATTACCGGGTTGTTAATTGATGCTAATTTGGTTCATTTTACTAAATATCAGAGTAAGTCCTGCAATTTTTTAGAACTCTACCTTATTTCATACAAAACTTAAGTTCATAGAATTAAATTTTTTGAAGATTTGAAAAGTATTGATGCAAAAGGCAGAAACATAACAGAAACATAAGTGCTCTTAGAATTTTCCAAGAAAATACCTGAAGTTATTTATATTAAAATATCTTAACATTAACCCTAAACTTAGTTGTAACTCTGAAATTATCTAGGAACAGAAGAGTTTCATGTGGAGTGTATATATGGATGTATTTGCATCCCTTGTCTTCATGCTTAGAGGAATTAAGGAATACAAAAGATTACAATTAAATGCATAAACCATAGTGATTTTAATTGTTTATAGTATCTTGATAACAGTAATATAACATTAGTGTACAATAAAATGTTTAATGGTAATTTTAAATATGAGAATAAGCCTTTCTTTTCACATTTATAGGAAAGCATACTTTTTAAAAAAGATTATTTATTTATTGATTCATGAGAAACACGGAGAGAAAGAGAGAGAGAGAGAGAGAGAGAGAGGCAGAGACACAGGCAGAGGGAGAAGCAGGCTCCATGCAGGGAGCCCAATGTGGGACTTGGTCACGCCCTGGGCCAAAGGTAGGCTCTAAACCACTGAGCTACCCAGACGTCCCAGCATACTTTATTTTTATTTGAATTCACAAGTACAAGTTTATCTATCTAGCATATGTGGATTTCTGGTTTTAAATCTCCATCTCTATCTCTCTATCTCTCAGTGGAGAAAACGTTGAACAAAAGTATGATTTGGGAAGAGAGTACCCACTGTAGTTTACCTAAAATGTTTTAGGATGAACCACGTGAAATTACTTCTCTAACCTTACTAACATTTCAACCCGATTGGAGAACATTCTTTCTCACCGCACAAAAAAATGAACATAAGTGAATTATCCTCTCCTACTGCATCTAGCATACCGTATTCACTGGTGAATAATAACCACATTTCTCCTTCTCCTTCCCAACAATATGTAAATCACACTAGGACATCTCTTCCCAAGTCATTTATCTTCTACCATCTTCACGTCATCTGGTCGAAACTTTTATCTCTAACACAAAACCCAAAGGAAATATACTAATTCTGCCTCATCAATCAAGAAATGGTTGGTGATGATATTACTTGCCTTTCAAATACATACTTCTATCCATTTTCGTTTGAGAGATTAGAGTTGTCAACTCCATATAACTATTGCTACTGTCATGCCACATGATTGGGGGGGGGGGTTAATTCTAGCAAGATATTTTTATTTACCTAAAAAACTCAAAGTCCATGTCCTTGCCATTTCCAAAATTATCCCAGTATCTTTACCAACCTTGATATTGTCAATATAGACACTGTCCTTTGCATCATAGAGAGACAACTGTGTGCACTGGAGGAATTATCACAGTGCCAGGGTCTTAGACACTGCAGAAATTGTTTATTAATGTTGATTATCAGATTGTCTATAATCATGATTATATATAGCCAGATATTAGAGACCATGCTAGTGAACCTACTTATGGGAGTTTCCCCACAATATTGGGTTACTCCTAGTCTTGGTTTTGGAACAACCCTGGAAACTATACTTTAAGCAAACTCAAAATTCCTCCTTGGAGAAATTAGGACATACATTTGCAATAAACTTATTCCATTTTTTATGTTTGCATTTCATCACATTCTGTTAAGAATATATTTCATCTACATATTCCCTTCCTGACTCTTAAGATGCTATGCAACCAACAAAGTTTATGTCTCCGCAAGAATGAATTTTTTTCTCAGTGTATCTATGGCCTTTGGCTTATATAACCTATAACGTGTATCACATGTTACCTATAATGAAAACAGAAACTCTCTAATTTCTATATGTTTGCCTGCCAGTTATAAAGAGAATGCTACAAGATTATCGAGGATTCACCATGATCAACCTGTAAAGCCCCTGGACCGAGCAGTCTTCTGGATCGAGTTTGTCATGCGCCACAAAGGAGCCAAGCACCTGCGGGCAGCCTCCCATGACCTCACCTGGTTCCAGTACCACTCCTTGGATGTGATTGGGTTCCTGCTGGCCTGTGTGGCAACTGCCATATTCTTGGTCACAAAATGTTGTTTGTTTTCTTGTCGAAAATTTAATAAAGCAGGAAAGAAGAAAAAGAGGGAGTAGATCTTTCTAAGCTGGGAAGAGGCCTTAATGGGCAATCCCGTTCATTCTAATCACCGTGACCTTAATGAAAACACAGTATCTCCATCTCATTTTCAAAATTCCCATTCTTCTACTCTAGCCTAGAGGTAAAGCCTAAAATTCAACATGATCATTAACTAGTGAACATGTCCCAGTATTCCTTTGTCTTTTCCTTTACCCTTTCCTCTCATTTTCCTGGCACAAGGACACTAATAATTTTATGTATCTTTTTAGTCAAAATATCGTTATTTTTCATTATTCTTTTTCATAAAGATAAGTCCTTCTGCTTGCCCAAATTTGCTGCGGTCAGAGCCTAAATTGATAAGTACTGCAACAGTGCATCATACTAGGGAAGGTCTGCAAATTCCTATTTCATACATAGATAATCATGGCCTTTGTTCCTGCCTATAATCAACAAGTACTCATGTGTACCTATTTTTGAAACAAAGGTATGGGGACTGCCCTCAAACAAAAGAGATTAATTGAGTATTATTTTTCCTCAGGGACAGAGAATGTCAACAGTATTAAAGGTGAATAGATCATCTATAGAGGAAATTATTAAGAAATATGGAAAAAATAGTACTTTTATGAGATGTTTAATTAACAGTACAAGTAATAACATTAACGTTAAATGTCAATTTATTGTATTGTAAAATCACTAATTCCCATAGTCTGTAATCAGTCTTTATAATCAAAGATTTAGTTCCCTAGCAAAAACAAATATTTACCTGGAATGTAAGACCATCATATTATTTTTCAGTCTGTATATCTTGCAAATTTAAATGTATCAATTAAATATCATGCCAAGGATGTAAGATATTAGCAGACCTGCTTGACTAAGAGTATGTTTTAGCAAATACTTATGACACAAAACACTAATTAAAATTCATATTTGAATCAGCTTTGCATTAATTTAACAAATAAAGACTGTACTTTCTTTACTTATACACTTAATGACGTATTCTAATTAAAGTAAAACTTTATTATTGAAATTAAAAATTTCAATAGTTGATGTATAATTGTGATAAATTACAGCCCTTGACTTACTGAAATTTTTGAAATTCATATTCATTTCAATATGACATATTGAAAATTACTTTCAATTTAAAAATAAATGCATGATATGTGGTATATAGGAATATGTGTTTCTTTTGAATATGTACATTCGTGAAAATGCAAATAAATTCTTAAATCTTTTTGTGAAGGCTAAAGATGTATTTCTTAAATACTAGTATTTTTAAAGTTGATTCATGTTGATGTGTTTTGACTTTTACAATTTGATTATGTCCTGAGAAGTGCTCTTTATGTTTGCTCCATGCAGTTTATTCCTATTGGAATATAGCAAGTGGCTTAAGATCCAAGAGAGATGGGGTAGCCACCCAATTCAGGCACCCATTTGGTTTCTGAGACTGGCCACCCACAACATAGAGATTTGTTTCTTCTCAATAGCCACTGTTCACCTGCTTTCTCCTCTCCTGCTGATTACCTGCTGATTTCTTCCTTTGCCTAAATAACATCCAAAGGCAGCAGGCAAAAATTCCTGGGTGATACCACTGCATTAGTTGGTCTAACTGCAGCATATATATATTTTTAATTTTTTTAAAATTTTTTAATGTATTTATGATAGTCACAGAGAGAGAGAAAGAGAGAGAGAGAGGCAGAGACACAGGCAGAGGGAGAAGCAGGCTCCATGCACCAGGAGCCTGACGTGGGATTCAATCCTGGTTCTCCAGGATCGCGCCCTGGGCCAAAGGCAGGCGCCAAACCGCTGCGCCACCCAGGGATCCCTATTTGGATAATAAACAGATAAAAAATAGCACATACATACATATACAGTGAGAATGGACATTCCTTAACAGTCATTCAAAAAACCGCTCAGATGAGGAAACACTCATCCCTAAAGAGCAGAAACCAATTCCCATTAGCTGGAGCACAGGGAGCATCTCCTCTGGTTAGGGTTCTTTACCTGATAGGATGATCCAAAACTTCATCCACTCCAAATAAATGTCAGTAGCCTAATTATCTTTGGTATTTTGAATTCATGATCACAGCCAAGAGAGTAACGCCTTCTTTGAACAAATTCTGAAGCAGAGGATCTCAAACTAATCAAGCTCAAAGTAATTCACAGTTAATAATCTATAAAATCCTGGCCATATCTCCGGGGAGAATCTTTCTCCTTGAGAAATGCAACCTCCAAACTGCCTGACTCCAAGAGGTAATAATTAAAAACAAAACCGTCTAGGGCAATAGTGAGGCATACTAGTTAGGGGACTCATTCTCCCTTTCAACCCCTTGAGATCTGAACCCATGTTTTCAAACGAAAATACAGAAAGCACATATATGAGATTATGCTTTGACCCATACACTGCATCCTTTAAGACAGCATCTAAAATATATAGGATATTATCTCCCAGCTAAAACCCTGAAAAACTCTCATTAGTTAAGGAGGAATTTGGTAAAACTCAGCAAATTCTGTGAATATTAGACTGTTGAATTTCCTTAGTTGAAATATATTTCCTGGTTATACATGATGTTGACATCAACACCAAGATTTTCACTTAAGGTCCACGTGCATAATTGCTTATCTGGCAGAAATACTACAGGGAAGGGGAAGAGGAAATCTGTCATTTGGAATTTATAATAAATTCTCTGAAGGAAAAATGGTGCATCCCCGAGGATGAAAAGTGTGACCAATGCAATTTTTCTACTTTGTGGCTAGCTAGAACCCTTGAGAGTTTACCATATTGGGAAGGAGGAGGGAGAGATCTTTGCTATTAATAAACTGAACATTTAACAGTTGGAGAAGCGAAATGAGCCTTGGTGAGGTGAAGTCCATGCCGTTCATCACATGAACTTTCCACCAGGTCTCCATTGCTCCTTGGTGCATGAGCCTTAAGATCTAATTCGGAGAGTCTGGAAAAAGACACCGACATTCACAGGACTGATTATCCAAACCATTTTATAATTTTTAAAAAAGGTTTTATTTATTTGAGGGAGAGAGAGAGAGAGAGAGAGCACAAGCATGGGGAGGGACAGAGGCAGAGGGAGGGGGAGAAGCAGGCTCCCTGCTCAGGAAGGCTTGAACACACAAGTCTCATGCTCTACTGACTGAGCCCTCAGGGGGCTCCATCCCAGACCCTGAACATGAGCTGAGCTGAAGGCAGATGCTTAACCGGCTGAACCACTCGAGTATTCCCAAACCACCTTACTATTGAGATAGTTGTCTGTAGAACATGACCTCTGGAGGGAATTTCCACAGAATGGGAGTATCTTCATAATCCATGCAAACACCAAGAGGTTTATTCACATACTTCTACCTGAAACTTTCTTACCTTTAATCTTCCCTCTAACTGGTCCCAAGTCCTTGACAACCCAGTCAATCCATTAGTCTTTGCCTATGAATCTATAGGTCTGTAAAGAAGGTCACCATTTTCCCCACAAAAATGGAGTGATCTGGATCTGTGCTTGATATTCTACCCATTGGGAAGATTTTGCTCCACCACTGCGTTTCAGAGACAGCCTTGAGTGGGGCTGTAACAATGGCTACTTCTTGCTGCTTAAGGATATCATGTGTACTCATACATAAATTGGGATATATGACAATGTTTTCCCTATTTTCAGTTGGGAAGGCCCTTGTGAATCTGAAGGGGAGGATTCACAGATTTATATCCAAACATTGGTAAGTTCCATGGGAGCCTAAGCCACACACAGAGACAATTTGCTGGATTTTTCTGGTCCTGCTCTGAACTGTTCTCATATATACCCATTTAACTGTAGAATGTTGCTGCTAATGTTCAGTCGTATTTTGGTTGTTACCACAACATAGACCACCACAAGTAGCATAGTCATTGGTGCCCATGGTCAGTCTCACCCAGAACTCAGTAACAAGCCAGGGACTGTTGTTTCTATGGAGAAGAGATACTGTGAAAATAGGTCATAGTTTTGCTTCAAAAATCCTAGGATTCTCTTTTTGGAGTGTCAGAAATGACAAATAGCAACTTAACATTGCTATTTGCTATAGGCATGGCAGATACCCTTGGAATTTCTTTCTTTTTCTTTTTTTTTTGTTTTTCTGTAGTGGTTAAAAAAACAACACATGAGATCTACCAAAATTTTAATTACTTTTAAAAAAGATTTTACTTGTTTATTTGACATAAAGAGAGAGCACAGGCAGGGAGAGCAGCAGGGGGAGAGGGAGAGGCAGGGAGCCCGACTTGGGGCTTGATCTCAGGATGCTGGGATCATGACACAAGCCAAAGACAGACACCTAAATGACTGAGCCACCCAGGCGCCCCCACAAAATTTTAACTATACAGTCAGTGTTGGTACAACAGATCTCTAGAACTTGTATATCTTCCGTAATTGAAATGTTATACTTCTTGAACAGCAGCTCCCACTGACCTATCCGTCCAGCTTCTGGCATCTACTGCTCCACCTTCTGTTGCAATGAGTTGGATTACTTTAGACACTTCATATAAATCAGATTTAATCACTCAGTTTCCATGCAGATACCAGAGTCACCTAAAAGGTTTCAAACAGGGACATTTTGATTGAAAAAATACTTAGCAAATACCTGGACAGTATGAAGGGAACTATAAGAAAAGATGAGGTTCCCAGACTAACAACAGTACAGGTCATTACTAACCCACTGGGCTAAGATATAAAGGAAAACAGTAACGTTCTCAGAGACTAGTGAGAATAGGAACTGCGGAAGGAGAAACGTAGGCAAGAGATGTAGTAATGGAAGCTCCAAGCAGTTGCCTAAAACTAGGTCCCAAGCCAGGAAGGGAACAGCCAAATATATTTGGTCTCATCTACCACTAACTGAATTCAACCAGAAGCTACGTGGCAGAGGAATTCACATACTGGAGTGCACCGAGGTGAGCCTCCTGAAACCCAAAACTAGAAAAGAAAGTTAAGGATAATAGATCTGGGAAGATAAATGGAGAACAATAAGAGCATTGAGGGCCACCCTTGAGAACGGATCAGAGAAATAGAAGCTAGAAAGTGAGAATAAGAAAGACTAAGTATTAGTAGTAAAACTGGGGATTTTATTGTTAGGGAACTCAGGAGAGGATGGTGTTTCAAGAAGGGGAAAAGAACATCCGTGAAATTATTTAAGCACTCTCATTGATATGTGATGCAAACCCAAGGAATCTTCTACAGTACACTAACGTCTAGTATGCACGTGAGTTATCACTGAGGAGACCGATCTAATCAATTCTACAGATTCAACTGTTTACCTGAAAATCTAAGCTTATTTAGTTGAATAATTACTAGAATTAATAGCAGCTAAATAAAATGAGCAGATACTGAAGATTTTATGAGGGTTTGAACTTACTGAATATAAATCTTTTGCCAGTATTTTGTGAGGTGGTTTATATACATTTCTCTAGTACCTAAAACAACTCCCTGATGCAGACATGTCTATTTTAGTAGAAAGAGTAAGAAAGTCATATGCACTTAAGGTTATTTTTGGGAGACATATAAGATCATAAGCTAAGTGAAAACAAATGTTTGTACATAAGAGTCTACATGTAATTATATTTGTATAAGTGTAATTACATTTGTATAATTTATATGTGCTAATTAACAATGACTAGAAATATGAAACTTACTGTTTATTTTGTTCAGTCACTCAATAAATATTTTTTACAGAAAATATGGAGGAATTTTGGAGAGCCATTGTGTTCTTACAGAGGATATGATAGTTGATAAGTTAAATGCTGTAGTTTTCTATGAAAAATGAGTGATTATCCAGACAAAGGAATTACAAGCATGGATACAAAAATGATATTGAGGACATTATGTCTTTCTGGATCTGTCTACCATAAACACGACTATTCTTATTCATCTACCAACAACAGAAATTTGGATATGTGTCCTTTAAGAGCTTCCACTAAATATTAAGTTCTCATATGGATAAGTTCAGTGACAGGAATGTCTTCAGGAAAGAGAAAGAATTAAGGGAGACTCCAGGGTTTCCACCTTGTGAGTGTATTTGAACAGTCAGCTTTTACAGAAATAGGAAACAACTGGAGGAGCAACTTCTTTGAGATTAATATACTGTGTTCTCTTTTGAATTTATTTGCTTCAAGGAGCCAAAGTGACCTTTAGGTGGAGGTTTTGAGAAGTCATTTGGAAAACACAAGGTCTCAACCTCAGAAAATAGCAAGAGAAACAAACTGAGGGTCAACAC